CTGCTGTGCCGGGGCGCGCTTGAAGCCTCTGAAGTTTGTTACCACCTTAGGTGCAGAAGCAGAGGCGCGTTGAAGCGTTTGTCCCCGTGGTCCTGCCCGCCGCCCGTCCGCAGCACGGGTAGCTCCGGCTCCTGTGGAGAAGATGCAGCAGTGTCCAACACCAGATTCGATTTAAAATGCTTGTCAGTGCTGCTAAACCTGATTTCTGTGGCTTGTGGAACTGTTGGTGCCAGCATTATGCAATCATGTGTTTGTACCTATAGGAGTGACCTAACAGGCTACAGGTAGCTCATTGTTTATGTTACTTAAATGAAAGGCAAGTGTACCATAACGGATGCAACTAGACAAGATCCCGGTTTCTTCAAGGTGCTTCAGCCTCTCTCAAGGGGGAGGTCAGCAGCTAGTTCTTCCCCTGGTGCTTCAACACTGTGCAGAGGTAGCACCATTAACTGCCTTGGCTGGTAGTGCCCGAGCATGTCAGCTCCACAGGAGATATGTTTCTAGACTTATCTCCTCCCAGGTGAATGAGATAACGAGGCTGCTGCGAAGCCAAAGATGGCAGACACCTGTTGACTGCTGGTTCTCATCTCATGACTGGACCAACAGAGGAGTGTGTTGAATATCTATGTGTATGTCACCTGTTTGTAACATTCTCCCACGGATGGAGGTTTTGCAATGTGCCTAGGTTTTTTAGGTGTGTAACTAGCTCTGTGTTAAGAAATTTTTTCCTATTGCCACACATGGAAGATATTTAATTTCCTTGTACTTATTTATAAATTACAAATAGTATTGGTTTGGTGAGGTGGGCAGGCCATTCAATCCCAACAATTCTGTGGTATTTTCTTGAGTTTCACTGGAAATATTTGGCCTTGCTTGTTGCCAAATAAAGAAAAATCACCAACTCTGAGCAACCTATTAATTGCAGATGGTGTGGTTGGTTTGGAACAGAATGCCTAGCATTTGTTGAGGGGACAGATGGCAGACAAGCCATCTAGTTATATCAGCTGTCATGGTGGGTTGACCCTGGTGGATATCAGGTGCCCACAAAAGCCACTCTATTACTCCCCCTCCTCAAATGGATAGGAGAGAGAACATAAAAGGAAAGGCTTATGGGCCAAGATAAGGACAGGGGGAGATCACTCACCAATTGCCGTCACAGGCAAACCAGACTTGATTTGGGGAAATTAGTTTAATTTATTGCCAATCAAATCAGAGTAGGGTAACAATAAATACAACCAAATCTTAAAAAACCTTCCCCCCACCCCTTCCTTCTTCTGGTGCTCAACCTCACTCCCAATTTTCTCTATCTCCTCCCCCCGCCCCCCCAGCAGTGCAGAGGGATGGGGAATGGGGATTGGGGTCAGTTTATCACACATGCCCCCTGCCGCTCCGGCCTCCTCAGGGGGAGGACTCCTTACACTCTGCCCCTGCTCCAGCATGGGGTCCCTCCCACAGCAGACAGTCCTCCGTGAACTTCTCCAATGTGAGTCCTTCCCATGGGCTGCAGTTCTTCATTAACTGCTCCAGTATGGGTCCCTTCCATGGGGTGCAGTCCTTCAGGAACAGACTGCTCCAGAGTGGGTCCCTTCTGCAGAGTCACCAGCCCTGTCAGCAAACCTGCTCCAGCGTGGGCTCCTCTCTCCGTGGGTCCACAGGTCCTGCCAGGAGCCTGCTCCAGTGTGGACTTCTCATGGGATCACAGCCTCCTTTGGGCATCTGCCTGCTCCGGCCTGGGGTCCTCTCTGGGCTGCAAGTGGAGACCTGTGCCTCCATGGGCTGTAGGGCCACAGCCTGCCTCACCAGGGGCTGCAGGGGAATCTGCTCCAGCACCTGGACCACCTTTTCCCCCTCCTTCTTCACTGACCTGGGTGTCTGCAGGGCTGTTCTCTCGCATATTCTCACTCCTCTGGTTGCAGTTGCACAGGGTTGGTTTTTTTTTTCCCCCCTTCTTAAATACATTATCCCAGAGGTGCTACCGCCATTGCTGATGGGCTTGGCCTTGGCCAGCGGTGGGTCTGTTTTGGAGCCGACTGGCATTGGCTCTGTTGGACATAGGGGAAGCTTCTGGCAGCTTCTCACAGAAGCCACCCCTGTAGCCCCCCCGCTACCAAAACCTCACCATCCAAACCCAGTACAACTGTATAGTGAAATTGTAACAAAAGGCAGTGTAAAAATTTCTGAAGAAAAGCTTTATCTAAGCACTTCTTGAAAATTGCCTTAAACATGGAAGAAAAAATGTGATTTGGGTATCTGTTTTCTAGGTGTGTTTCTTTCTCCTGAAGTGTCCTTGTTTGGTATTCTTTAAATATTAATTAAGACTTGTATTACCGACTGGATGGTTTCAATCTTGTTGAAGACTTTTTAGGCTATCCATAGTGCAGCTACCATCTTTGGGTACAACGTTTCTTTGTCAATAATTTACTTAGCTCTTTCTTAAGAGGCTAAAGTTCAACACAACCTTTTAATAACTAAATGATTGGGAACAAACATAATCGAGGGCTGATAAAATTGAGGCAAAGTTTCTTGCAGTTTAAGATGAAAATCAGTTATCTGTGTTTTGTTCTTTTCCTCAGTCTTTAGGTTTCACTCCTTCTGTTAAACAGGTAGCTACACAAAACATTTACTACCACTGCTATGGCTTGGCACACTGTTTCCTTTTAAAATTTGAGAGTCGCCATTGAGAGGTTAATTTCCTTTTTTTCTTAATACCCTTTCTGCAAAATCACTTGTCCATACCCTATCACCTAATAGTAATTTGTTCAGTCTGCTTTCACATAATGTGGAGGTTATACCTGTAACCTGCTCTAATCTACTCTTGATATGTGACATGTGTCAATCAGAAGCTCAAGTTTAGGGATCTAAATTAGCCATGTAATCAGTGGAGCATAGCAGTAAACAGTGCATAAATACCCTACTTTATTGGCAAGAAACCTCTGGATGCTTTGGCTTTATTTTTTTTAATATATTGTCTCTGTTTTCTACTCGTGAAATTATGCTTCAGATGTCTACTACTTTTATTAGTATTTTAGTGAAGAAACAGGACCATATGTTTGGGTAAATTCTGTCTTCTCCACTTCTCCCAAAAAACTGTGAGTTTTTTTGTTTTCTTTTGTCCCAGGTATGCCGATAGCATGCTGTGCAAAGAATTTCTGTGAAAGTAGGACTTTATTCAAGTAACTGAACAAGTGATAGTGCTATCAGCTTAACTGGTTGAGAAATGTCTCTGTTTTGAACCTGTCTTGTGCTAGTTTTAGCTGATGGTTCCAAAACCTTCATCTGGAGGAGGCAGATAACCAGCATTGCATGCTCATGTTCTCAGTCCCGTTTGTGATTTTACATTCCTCTGTCATGCCTCCCTCACCAATCTTTTGCAAACTTTTTTTATTCAGTTGCTTCTAATGTTTCTTATTTTGTTCTGTTTTCTATTCCTTTCCTATCTCTGCTTTTTTGCCATTACTGAATGTCGAGGTGACTTCTCTTTGTAGCACTTGCTAGGACTATCGTTGTGTATATGAAGTTGTTGGTGGTTTTGCCATGTGCACTATCCTGCACTTTTCTGCACTGAAGTCCATCGGCTTTCTTGAACAGTCACTGAGAAGTCTCTCTCCAGTTCTTTGTAACCAGGCCTCATTTTCATACTACCAAATGGTTTAGTTTCAGAAAATTCCACTTCCTTGCTATTCAGTTGCTGTTACAGATTGTTTTGAATTTGTTTAATGGTATAGGTCCCAGTACAGATTCAGGTGGGATCTGTGTGTCTTGTCCATTTCTTCTTTTCTTACCAGATTTGTAAGCATGTGAGGACTTTCTATTTCAAGGCAGCTTGGCTTAACAGTCTTTGGTGAGATACCTCTTGGGAGATTCAGGTAAACAGTATCAAGTGGATTTCCCTTGTCCATATAAAAGCTGTCAATTACTCTTTCTGAAGAATCAGTAAGTGCAGTAATTATTGTCTTTGTTACAGTTTCCATTAACTTGCCTGTACAGATGCCAGTTTTGCAGTCAGTAGTTACCAAATTGCTCAGGAAAGCCTTTTAAATGTAGGTATGATATTGGCCATCTTCCTGCTCTTCTGGTGCAAAGGCAGTTTTAAGCAAGAGGTAACTCCCCAGGTGGTTAGCTGTTTTTGTACTTCTGAGTTCTTCTGCATATGCCACCTAATCTGAGTGGTTTGTTATTGTTCATGTCTATTTGTTGAATCATGTACTGATATTTTGATTGAGACAGATATGACGCATTGTTTGTAAGGAAGAATTCTGGCATTAGATCTTTACAAGTTCCTCCACAATAAACATAGATACAAAAATTTACATTGTTTTTCTGCTCTGCTTTATCTTTGGGTGTACCTTGCATGTCTGGAACATCTGTTAGCCTTAGTGAGTGTCTGGCAGACTACCTGCTCCTAATGCCTGAGTGGTGCGGTTGACACACCAGAAGGACGGGGTGTCATCCAGAGAGACCTGGACAGGCTGGAGAGGTGGGCCTGTGTGAACCTCATGAGGTTCAACAACACCAAGTGCAAGGTCATGCACCCAGGTTGGGGTAACCCCCAGTATCAATACAGGCTGGGGGAAGAAAGGACCAAGGGCAGCCCTGCCGAGAGGGATTTGGGGGTACTGATGGACGAAAAGCTAGACATGAGCCGGCAATGTGCGCTGGCAGCCCAGAAGGCCCACCGTACTCTGGGCTGCATCGGGAGAAGCGTGGCCAGCAGGTCGAGGGAGGTGATTCTGCCCCTCTACTCAGCTCTGGTGAGACCTCACCTGGAGTACTGCGTCCAGCTCTGGAGCCCTCAGCACAAGAAGGACATGGAACTGTTGGAGCAGGTCCAGAGGAGGGCTACGAAAATGATCCGAGGGTTGGAGCACCTCTCCTATGAGGACAGGCTGAGGGAGTTGGGCTTGTTCAGCCTGGAGAAGAGAAGGCTGCGGGGAGACCTGATTATGGCCTTTCAATACCTAAAGGGGTCCTATAGGAAAGATGGGGAAAATCTTTTCAGTAGGGCCAGCTGTGACAGGACAAGGGGGAATGGCTTTAAACTAAACCAGGGTAGGTTTAGACTGGATCTAAGGAAGAAATTCTTTACAATGAGGGTGGTAAAACACTGGACCAGGTTGCCCAGAGAGGTAGTGGAGACCCCATCCCTGGAAGCATTCAAGGCCAGGTTGGATGGGGCTCTGAGCAACCTGATCTAGTTAGCGGTGTTCCTGCTCACTGCAGGGGGGTTGGACTGGGTGACCTCTAAGGGTCCCTTCCAACCCAAAACATTCTATGATTCTAAAAAGGTCTTTGTTAGTTTTCAGATTTATGCTATTTCCAATTGTTCTTCACTTTTTTTAACTTGACTTTTTGTACTTTTGTATCTAACCTTCCAGTGTATAAAACCTTGCCTGTTTTCTTTATTTGGATGCTTTAGCTTTTTGAAGGATGCTGTCCTGCTCTTACTAGCATCCTTATGGCTGCTGTTTATGTTGGTTAGTCAGTCTGGATTCTTTTTGGTCTGTCTGAAGTTCATGGTAAATGCTGTGCATATGGTCTGAGCCTCTAGGATAGTGTCTTTGAATAGTTTCCCTGCTGCCTTCAAGGATTTTTGTACTTTTTAGGAGCATCGTAGTTACATATAATTGCCTTCCTTTGAAATCAAATATAACCGCAGCTGATTTCTTATTTTTTCTTGCTTTCACATGAGTGTTG